AAAAAAAAAAAAAAGAAGTACTTGACCCACCCATCAGAGCAGTACGAGCGCCTGTCTCCGTCACCACTCCCCCATACACAACCCTTTCTTCTGCTGAAATCTGATCATCGATCTCCTCGTACACCTCGTCCTCTCTCCTTCCCCTGCTCCGCCTCCGCTTCCGCTATCCTCTAGGAAGTCATATATGCTTCGTTTGCCCCCATTCCGCTTCCTCGGACTACGCTGCCGCGGCCGCGGAGGTGACGAAGAGGATCGACTTTTCTTATAATAATCATCGCCACACCCATCAACATCACCATCGCCACCTCCACTGTTATTCCCATCCAGAGCAGGCGTGGTAACCTTCCCGCTTCCCCCAGAAGAAATCTCGCTAAAGCGGATTTCCCGCGCGAGGCTCACGAAAGTGCGCACCTTCTGATCTGGGGGTTTCATGCCCCTGGTCACCGGTCTCCGGTTGTCGTTTGGATGGTTGTGAGTGATGGGCATAGGCATGCGGGTGGGCGTGAAGCCGTTGGGTCCCGTTTTCAATGGCTGGAAGTACAGTGTATGCGCCGACTGTGGAAGGGGTGGGTGTGGTTGTGACTCCGTCGTCTTTGTGCTGCGAGTTAGGACTGAGATGGGTTCTGGTAGTTGGTGGTATTGTCGCTGCTTGTGTTTCTGCTGCTGCTGCTGCTGCTGCTCGGGCTCGGAGGGTTGTTTGGGTTCTTCGATCCATGCATTTGGGCTGAAAGGCATGCGCAGGCGGGATCCATCTATTTCTTCCACGGCGTCATTGCCGTTATCATCGTAATTGCGACTTGGAGGATTGGAGATGCATTTCTTCAACGTTGTAGAGTCCATCGCTTGCGCTTCTTTTGCATTTGCACCCACTTCCCCTGCCCCGGTCCCGGTCCCGGCCCCCCCCCAAACTCCATTCACATCTTTTTCTCCCATCTCTGAAGATGAGGAAGTTGGCGTTGAGATACGATGGGTATCAGCCATTTCCATCTGCGAAAATGTAATTGAACCGACACGCTGCGGCGCCTGTGGCCGAATATCACCACAGGGATAAATCCTCCGTTCTTTTTTTATATCTACACACCGCAACGCCTCCCTCCCCTGCTCTTTCGCTGGGTACTGCTGCGAGTAAAGAATTTCATGAACCTGGTACGGATACGGTTTATACGGCCATTCCAGAGGTGTGTCGTCCGACTTTTTCCAAAACGTGAGGCTGTTCCTGCTCGCGTGATCATCGATATCCTCCTTGGATATGACCTGGCGCTCTTTTGGCCTCCATTGCATCGCAGCTCGCCTCGACAAGTCCTCAAACTCCCGCTTATACGCTGGGTTTGTGAACCACTTGTGTGAAACGGCTTGGTCGGCCGTCATGCGCACATTTTCGTCGAGGACGAGGAGTTTGCGGACGAAACTCTTCGCGCGAAGGCCGACGCGTTGCCAATCTTTTTCCTGCTCGAGGCTGCGGAGGTCGCAGTTTCGGGCCATCTTTTGGCAATACTGGCCTGTATCGGGATCGGTGAAAGGTGACCCGCCCGTTAGGAGGACGACTGTGAGACAGCCTAACGACCACATATCCACGGCCTTTGTGTATCCTTTTCCTTTGCAGGGGGGCTCTGATTGAGGTACCTCACTGGTTTGCGGGGGGATGTATGTAAGTAAAAATTAATGATTTCTCACACTTCATATATCACGTATGCCAGGGGCATCGATATACACTCACGGTGCAGTATATTCAAGTGTCCCGATTGAAGTCTTCATCCGGCTGCTCTCCTTCTCAAGGCGCCGTGCACAGCCAAAATCTGTCAGGACAACACGCGCACCGTCCGAAAGCGATGTCATCAAGACGTTATCAGGCTTGATGTCACGATGCACAATGTTTTTACCGTGAAGATAGCTTATGGCGACTGCGACTTGGCGCACTATTACCGCCGCCTCCGAATCAGAGAGGTTAAATTTTTTGTACTCGAGAAACGAAAATAGGTCTCCTGCGGTAACCAGTTCCTGGAAGATATAACTGTTTTTTGTTTTAGGAAGTCAGCATCACGCAGCCTTTTCTCTCACCTTCACAGCCTTAGAAGAAGTTCAAACATACACAGTTTTCTCACCCATGATCACTTGCTCCAGTTTTACGATATTCGGCTATTTGCCTGATCAGTTTTGAAGTGTGGGATTGTCAAAGCAATTGCCAGGAATCAATGGGAAGAGTGCATACGTGGTCAAGATCTTTCAAGATATCCACTTCCCGCTGATAAATTTCAAGTTTCGCCTCGATGCCCAAGGTCTCACGTCTCCTATCAGCCCAGTATTTGACTTTCTCCATCTCCTCTTCGACATCAACCTCAGCTGCAGGACGTGGGGCGCGCAATTCAGTATGCTTCCGCAATTTAATACAGTAGAGCCGTTTTTTCAAGCCGCCAATGTCGATGATTTTGCAGGCAAGTTGCTTCCGGTATTTTATGCTCACAGCCATGTAGACTTTTCCATACGCACCACACCCCAGAAGCCTATTCGAGATTATGTATCTGTCTTTGAACCGCTATATTTTATTATATGTTTTTTTTTTTTTTTTTTCATTAGTTCTCTCCATTGGTTGTTACAAGCCATATGACCATCCAGGGTGTGGCCAATTAAGGGTGGAGGGTAGAAAAGGGGGAAGGGAAGCAAAAACCTTCATCTCCCTTCTTTGAGCCTCACTAAATACCACCACCTGTGGTGCCTCCCTTGCACGAAACGTGAGGGAAGTGAACTGGCTCAGTTCCACCATATCCCCGTCACTTAGCAGCACCGCAGCATCTTCTCTCTTGGTTATTACCGATTTCCACACACTTCCATACCGAGACAGGTTCTGCGCATACACCAACGGGCCAACCTCGCCCGGATTCCCATTGTCGAAGATGATAGTGTAGATCCGCAGATGTTTGCCGGAGATTGACATATCGCCAAAGATCGGCGCGTTACTATATTTAAGCCCAGGTAGGGATGGGAATGA